ACGTTACTACTACGTACTACGTAGTACGTACGTACACTACACACACACACACACACACACACACACACACACACACACACACACACACACACACACACACACACACACACACACACACACACACACACACACACACACACACACACACACACACACACAAACAGGTGCTCTCAGGAAATATTCATAATCTTTTTTTTTTTTCGATGAATCATCAGTAAAAAAGCACGAACATTCTTGTGAGTTCATAAAATGACATCACTTTACTGAAATGCAACCTTAAAACCAGGAACCTTATGCAATGCAACAATATCCAAATCTAAGATGATATCAAGTCTCATATCACAATATATCTATATAATATCAATATATCTTGCCTTCGTAACATGAAACTTTTTTTTGTTGCATATCTTGTGCGATCATTTTTGTTGATCGTATAATATTTCCCATAATGTCTTTGTTGATTGTCTAACTAGTCATTTCAGTGCAGACTTAATCAAATAAAGGATTGGTGAATATCTGCCTGACAGTTTACCTAATCAGTCTGAACATGTCTGTAGCATTCTTCTGTAAATGTTATGTTGAGCTACTTGTAACCGCCTACTGGACCAAATTACATAACCATAACGAACTTAAACGGCTTGTTTTATGACCTCAAAATGCTTCATATGTCCTCATTTATAGATAGGTAGATAGAATTGGGAGGGATGAAACCCTCTTTAATGGTCACACATGCAGAGCACACAGCACACACAGTGAAATGTGGCCTCTGCATTTAACCCATCCTAGTACCAGGAGTCTAATACTAGGAGCAGTGGGCAGCTATTGTACAGCGCCCGGGGAGCAATGGGAGTGAGGGGGGGAAGGGGGTTGTCCGGTGCCTTGCTCAAGGGCAAACAGGAATTGTTCCCATTCCTGTTATTAGATTACTTAGAATGTTCTGTCCTATACTCCTTTCTTTTAACTTCTTACTTTAACTCATTCTTCCACCACTATACCTCTATACATTGTGCTTTCTTCCCTTTTCCCCTCCTTTTCCTACCATTACTTTCAACTTTACACATTTATTTATGCCTTCTCCAACTATCCCACACTTCTTCCAGCTTCGTAGTTCTTAATTAATAGGTTTATTTCATAGACGCTCTATTGAAGGAACCATGTGGAGTTGTTCCTCTCATTCTCTCCCGTTGCGCATAATAAATTGTGGGTTTCGTTATGGACTCGGCTCGTTAAAGATGGCAATTGCAGAGTTCCTGAAACTGGTATGTCTGACAAAGATAACATCAGGTGTGCTGTTTGGAGATGCAGGGGTCAAGTCAATAAATAAGCAGTGCTAAAGAGCAGTGCTAACTAAAGCGGCTAAAAAAACTCCCCTTAAGGACATGGACATGCTGACCTCACGCTGACCTCACGCTGACCTCACACTGACCTCACTAAACTATTTGAAGAGGTTTGTGACGTGTTTGACACTGAAGCATTTTACAACATGGCCCAGTAAACTGTTGTCGACATGTGTGTGTGATACTTGAAGCTTAACTAATCCCCCTCAGAGCTTTGAGTTCAGGGGAATTTCAGACAACAGTTTCAGAAAGAATACTTTGACTCGGATCAGAGGTCCTTCTTCTGTTTTTTGCTACCAGCCAAGATAACAAAAGTTGTAATGGCATTTATCTGTTTGAAGAATATAAAAAATATATTCCCTCCATTTTTCCCTTAAAAATGTATCAAATATATAATAATATTCTTCAAGGTTTGTCTCCAAGTTAAAATTCCAGTTTGTTTGTACAGTAGTGCAAATGTGACATGGCAACAAACACAGCTATACCCCAACAAAGTCACTGGTGAAGAAGACTACTGGATGATATAAACAATGCACATTTGAATCATAAAAAAGAAAGAAAACTCTACAGTGCATGTTTTTTCACAATCTATCAGGGGGAGGAGCCAGCGATTCAGCCAATCAGAGTGCAGGGGGAGGAGCAGCGGAACAAACGGAGCCGTAATACGTGTGATCTGTGTGATAAGATCATCATCGGAGACCTGGAGTGGACAGGTGAGGCATCTGCTAAATAAAAAACATATTATTGCTCTTACGTGCTGTGCTGTTTATCAATTATTATTTTTTTAGTGTGGGTGTTCGAGATATTAGCTGTTGACATGTCTGCCTTTTCTTGAATATATAATATAAGGGAACTAAATGGCACTTGGCTCATCATGCCTAAAGCACAAATAAAAATACATCTTTAAATGTTTTCATACTCCAAGGGCAAAACAAAGGTACCTACAAAGGCCACAGTGTCACAAAGAGTGATGACAAACCTGATCACCCCTGATACCCTGCCTCTTGAAACCAAATCCCTATTTATTTTTCTTGTTGATGAATCATGTTCATGACTCATTGAGATGAAACGGTCCCATTTCATTCCAAATATATCCAACAATGTCCTCTTGTTTATTTTCTTTACCTGCAGCTCACCTGAAATCCAAAAAGCATCACCATCATGTGAGGAAGAAGAGGAAGACTGACTCAGGCTGTGAGGTCTCCTCCTCTGCTGTGGACAGCGTCTCTGAGGACTCCTCTGCTGCTGTTACCCCGGCAGCACAGAAACCTCTCAGGAGTCATCCCCAGAAACCGTGACAACACACAAGGAAGTCCCTGTGACTTTTTAAGGGTGACGCAGACTCTCTGGATATCTTCACTCAGGTTCCCAACACTGTCCTGCACAAACAGCTGTTTTCTTACCGTCCTTATAGGGCTGCTAACTTGGTTCCCCTTCTGTTTGATCGTCCTGGAGTACTATGGGATGACACAGGAATTTATGACACTGAATGTGGATGCCAATGAAGATACTCGAAATTCAAAACCGATTTTTTTACCTTCATCCGTAAAGTATATAACCTTCAAGCGGTTCATCTTGAGGCTGAAGGACGATTCAACATTGGAGACACAAAGGAAGACCTTGACTTTTGATGTGTGATTTTGAAGGTGGTTTTGTTCCCCTTGCCTGTTATTTAAAATAATTAACTTTATTTTTCCATTTTAAATGACGTGGCTATTTTTCATACTGTCCATATCTTCAATGTTGTATGTGTTAGCATTTCTGGATTCAAGTTTTTTAGTTTTTTTTTAAACTTGTCTTTAGCATAATCACATTCTCTTTTCCCTTCATCCACTAAATTAACATTTTCAAAAAATGAAGGATTTTAAAGTTTGTTTACTAATAGAGGATGTATTGATTTGATGCGGCAAACTCCACGTCTGTAAAGTGCCTTTAAACTGCATATTCTCTAATGGCCAGCAGGGGGCGACTCCACTGGTTGAAGTGGGAAGTTTGATTGTATAGAAGTCTATGAGAAAACTGAACTTAATTCTCACTCTGTGTTACCTCAGTAAACATTTTCCCAATGAAGCTCGAGTTTTAAATCTTCCTCCATGCATCATGATGTTCATTTTGTAAATGTTATTATTTCGAGTAAAATACAAAAGCGTTCAAAGGCTTAATTTGTCGAATGCACAATAGATTCAGCCAAGTTCCGGCAATGAAGGTCTTTAGTCCCTGACTGATCGAACAATGCGAAATAGACTATAAAGCAGGGTATGCTTTTGGAAAGGGGGGGCTAACTTGCCATTGATAGGTTGCTACCACCGTGTTGGTTTGCCTATGTGTTCTTACGACTTTTACCCTTTCAGTGTGTTTTCAGTTCATGCTCCAACTGTTTGTGGCACTTCTGGTTCCAAAAACCCAAACCATAACAGCCAAAACGCCCAAAACTCAAGGTTTGAAAACAACAGTCCACAATAAATCGGTGACATCACAGTGACTACATCCACTTCTTATAAACAGTGAGTGCTTATGTGTCAATGAAGTGATTTACTAAATGAAATCAGAGAGCATTTCAAATCAGCTTTAATGTACCTTTCTACCAGTCACGGCAAAGCTTACACAGCACAAAGTGTTTGCATTAAATACGTTTCCCCAGCCCTTTGTGTGATAACGACTCGTCACCCGATGAGTGCTGTTGTCTGTCAGCGCAGCTTAGCGAACGCATTTCTGTTCTGACGGTACTATAAATGGCCGACTTCTAGCAGAGCGTGTGTTTTCACAGCAGTGTTTGCACGTCTTTGTTTATCCAGCGGCTTGTCGTACCCTCTTTCAAACCAAGGTGTGCCCGCCTGCTGCCAAACCACTTACACAACCGCTGGCATGGCTCCAGAGCCCTCGATTGGCGCTCCCTTTCCCTCTCCTCACCTGCCACTCTTTCTTCTCACATACCCTTCCTCGGAGTCGGACAATTGTTCCACATTCCCGGCTAACACTCCATCATCTCTTTCTTCAAGTCTTCAGTCCGGGTTTTAGACGTTTTCTTTCAGCGTTGTTCACAGGCTCCCAGTGTTTGACCTCATCCACATGACTAAAAATATTTCCAGCCGTATAATAGCTGGAAATATGTGTGTGTGTGTGTGTGTCCCACATTTCCAAACTGGGTCAGGCCTCAAGCTTACTGGAGGCTTACCAAACAGTATGTATTCACACTGATAGCAAAGGTCACTGCAACCGGTGTCTGTTCTTTATTACCCTGTCTGTGCTTCTATTTGTTTTTTCTTTCCTTCTGTTGGACATTTATTAATCAGGCAGACCGTTTCCGTTTCCCCTTGGGTGTCCCCTCTGTCCTCTATAATTACAGAAACAATGAGAGCGATTTATAAAGAAGAGGAATTCTTATCACGAGTCAAATGATTTTAAAAGCCTCACATTTTTGTAACTTTATGTGCGGTATGTTCTTATCTCGAGTGCCTCAGAGATCTGCCCTGGCACCTCCAGGCACTTACTGAATCACTCGGTGTAAAAAAAAAAAGAAAAAGAAAAAGGAAGCTTGTGCAACTCAATGACATAAGGCCTCCTGGACAGAAGTGGAGAAGTGGGGCAACGTCCGCGGTCACAAGGCTAATGAGTGATTTACCGCCATGCAATGGATCATCTATGGACACACACACACACACACACACACACACACACACACACACACACACACACACACACACACACACACACACACACAGGTAAAATGCACTGAGTGAACTCATTAGTCGCAGACAGTGAGCACAAAGAATAAACGCACCTCTTTGAAACCAGCAACTGTGGCCTCCCACACAAATACCTGCTGTGAAAGTGGATCTTTCTGCTTTCCTGAGTGTTTGATTTGATGAGCGCTGCTCAGTGTGTATTTACATGTATAGCTGCATCTGTCAGCGAGCGGCGCGTTTATTGGCCCCGTTTTAGCGCTCCATTTCTGTCTCTCCCGTTCTCAGTCTAACTCCACATAGCCGCTCAGTAGCTGTACATGTTCACAGTGCACACACTGTCTGCATGAGGCCCACCGGGGGGGGGGGGGACTTCAGGACTGCTTATGTAACTCACTCTGCAGCCTATAGATGCTGCATGTCTGTGTCTCGACTGTTTGCAGTGGACTTTTGTTCTCTCTTTTCTGTGTACTGCACTTGATGCGAATGATGCGTCACCTTCACACTGACTGTCATGATGCATATATGACGGTGATAACAGCTGAAATTATCATCCTACAGTATTCCTTCAACTAACATTTATTTTCACTATTGAGTCTATCTAGAATAATGAAACCTGTCAATCCCAGTTTCTCAAGGTCTAAGGTGACGTCTTTAAAAGTTCTTCTCTGAAACTCAAACATACAATATTCAGTTTATTGATATAAAACAGTGAAAAGCAGGAAATCTCTACAAATGAGTTCACATTTTATTTTGTCTGGAAATATACCATTACACATACATTTGAATATCAAATGCATCAACTAATAGATTAATTGAATACTCGATGCTCTCGAGGAAATAAGTTGATTATGATAAGATGATACGTAACTTTTTGTGTCATGTATCGGGAAAAGTTGACAACATCAGCTGGTTTGTTTAAAGATCCTATACATTAAATATTGTTTGACCTTTTGGCTTTAAATCGAACAGCCAAACAATCTAAAGGATGATAATTTGGGTGCAGAATAAATATAATTACATAAATGTTATAAACGCTAGCAGTTTGAGTTTCTGGGGGGAAAACACAGTTAAAAAATTAGATAAAATAATCTATACCGCCTTTGATGTTGGTACCGATACGACACGGTGCTGTCGCCGCAGATATGCAGCTGGATGCTCCTATTTTTTCCATTCAGAAGAAATAATCATTTAAAAATAAATTAAATCATCAATATTGTGTTTCAAGTCGTTGGTTTATTAAGTAAACCGGATAATGTACAGTGAGGCATTTTTTTTTCCTGAATTTTCCCTTATTGGAACATTTTGAGACAGTCAAACTACGTTTTTAGTGTTTTTTGTTGTTTGTTTGAATGTTACTGAAGCTAATGACAGTGTGTGTTGTTGAACTCGCCCGCCTTCCTCTCCCCAGAGAGCTCTGCTGTAATAGTGTGTCATCCAGTGACTGTGCGTCTAGGTAATTTGAAGTCCACTTAATCCTAATCTTTAATCCCATTTGACTAAACATTCCCTGCCATCTGGCCCTGGTGAGACAAAAACACACACACACACACACACACACACACACACACACACACACACACACACACACACACGGGCAACTAATCAGATAGAGCAGCAGCTGTGGTCCAAGACACTGTTGACTTGACTACCAAGAAGAAGAACCTTTTGTTTTAAAAAAAAAAATACCAGCTTTGCTAATGTGGAACGTAAACATGTTTTTACAGATATTACAGAAGGCCGAATACTAGACACCACACAGTTTTGTGATCTTGTACAACTATGTGGAACGTGAAGGACCTTATTAAGAATGTGTAATGTTTGTCACTGGAGGCAACACGGTGAAGATAAGGAAAAAGGTCAAATGTGGCTGCCAGCTGTTGTGTGCGTGCATTTCTTTGAGCTTTAACTTGAGTATTGAGTATGCAATCTGATTTGATGTTTGCCCTTTAACATTATTTACACATTTATGTTTTTTTTAAAGATGCATGTTTCCTGGAATGGGAGTTTCCTCCGTTCAGGGTCAGTGATTTGGAAGAGGACAAAAAGGATACAAAACTTGGGTGTTGCATAGCCAAGTAAGAATCACAACACTATCAGGAGTGACTACATCAGATAAAAGAGCATTGTGTTGTCTGTCTGTGTGTGCACGAGACATGTCTCCTTTTTGGCATGTTACAGATTAGACATTTATTAATAAACACACCGCAAGCCGCTCTAGTGTTTCTCCCTGCGTAAGTGTAATAGCTGTGTTTGTACCTGTATGCATTATGGATAACACACACTCATTGCCAGAGAGTGCGAGTGTTTTAAAATGTTTCAATGCGATCTGATGTATGCATCCAGAGCCAAGTGCATACAGACCATCATTTATTGATGTGTGTGTGTGTGTGTGTGTGTGTGTGTGTGTGTGTGTGTGTGTGTGTGTGTGTGTGTGTGTGTGTGTGTGTGTGTGTGTGTGATCTACCTCCATATATTAATAAACCCTCTCCTGCCAATTCCCTTTCTTATAGTGGTGCATTTGTTTTGCACTCATGCAGGAAATAGGTGTACCAGCCCATAAAACATCAACTGTGTGTGTGTGTGAGCAAGCATGTTCATTTTATTGCATCTGTGTTCACAGGGAGTAGTGTATACTCTGCAGTGTGGCGCATTTGAGACGGTGTGTTTACTGTTTTCCATTGTCAGTGGCTTAAGCGCTGTAGCTGGCTTTTTCCCGCCAGTGCGGTGTTTTGTGGGCGGGGCTCCAACAGCAACGAAGAGCCAGAGCTTCCCGCCCGATATGCAAATGAGCTGAGAGTGGGCGGGGCCGGGAGCCTCCCCTTCTGCAGCGGTTAACCCTTTCACTGCCTGAGTGGAAGTCAGCGAAATGCGGTGGGTGTGTGTGGCTTCTTGTTCTTGTGTCCTCATAAGGACAGAGCAATGAGGAGGGTCTAAAGAAAGTAGAGCTCGATTTAGGATTAAGTTAAGGTCAATTGAAGAAGTATAGCCATGATGTGTCAGAATCGTCAGAATCTAAAGCTTCCCCATGTTTTACCATGAAGTGTACACTCTGTACTTTTAGATTTTTTGGTAGTTATTGTGCACACAATCCTTATGTGACCTACTTTATCCATGACTATGGATTTATGTGTAAAACCTTATATAATGGAATACATTATTTGGGTTTTATTGGGTTATAATTAAGGTTGTTAGTCTCTATTTGGCGAATATTATAGACTTATTATGGAAGGTTACATTTACAAAATTAGAGAAAACACATTTCACACCCTTGCCAAAATATCCAATATGCTATAACAGCTAAATTATCAAACATGAAAAGCGAACTCATGAGTTTAAACTAGATCTTGAGGTGCCCTCCTAAAGGCATGGCCTAATGTTTAGAAA